CGAAGTAGCTCGTCCACCTGTTCGTCGATCACTTTCTGCATAGCCGGATTCTTAGGGTAGTACCTTTGCTTCAAAGGCTTGTCGTCCTTCATCCGGATGCTATGTTCAGCGATGTGCGTCACGCCTCTGATGTCTTCAAATAATGCCAGCTCCGCTTCTAGGAACTCCTGTAGTTCTCCCTCCAAATCGTCCGGCCACTCCTTGCTACTGGGCGCGGATCGTTCATTGCCTCCATATTCACTCCCTGATGCTTCTCCCGTCGGCAGGCTGCCTCCGGCAGGCTGCTTCCTTCTCCAACTCGACTGAACTAAACTCCGGCGGCCGCTCCTCGGGTCCGCTCCTCAAATCCTCGCTCTGCTTCTCAGCTCTCGCGGGAGGCCCAGCTCCCTTTTTGTGATCCAGTGTCTTGTCTCTTTCCTTTTCATTCCTCCTTATCGACGGAAGATCCTCTCCAAACCCTTCCTTCGGCGTTCCTTTTGTTCATTCGCTTCCTCTTGTTTCTGCTTTTCTTCATCGACACCGCGATCGCCGACCTTGGGTCCGCCTTTGGCGTCGAGGCCTCGCGCAACACCTCTGGGCTGTCTTGCCCTCTAAAACCGCTGCTGCCTCTCTCCACTACTTGTCTACTCGACGGCGACGCTCCTTCTGCCACGTCGCCCACCATCCTCATCTCCAGCGCCGCGTTGCCGCAACGCACCGTAGTGCTGATGGCGCATAGAAAGTCCATGCTGAGGATGACATGGTCCAGCATGGTCGGCATTATTAGCAGGTTTGCTTCCGCCGCACATCCGCACATCCGTCCTCATCATCTTCGTCACGTCCAGCGCTGATCCATCGGCCAGCCTGATTCGCGACTCTGCCTGGCAACGCTCGCCCCGCATCGTCCGTTGGCGCACGCAATCCTCGCTGATAAAACTGCGCGTGGCCCCGGTGTCGATCGTGGCGGTCATCTTTTGACCTCCGACCACCACCGTCGCGACGATCTTCCACTCCTTTACTCAAAGCGGGTACCTCTCTTCGCCTTCAGTATCTAATCGGCGCCGCTCCATTCCCTTGGAGGGCGCCCCTGGCCGTTTCCTGCGCTGCCCTGCTCGCAACACTCCCTCCCAGTCCGGCCTCGCTGTCGACAGTGTCGACAGAATAACCCCGGCGCGTTACGACATTCTCGCGCAAAGTGTCCAGGTTGTGCACATCGGTAACAGACCCGACTCGGCCTGGATCCAGCGTTCCTGTCCTCCAGACCGGGGATCAGGTGCCTTCGCGCGGAAAGTGTTGCTCTGCCGCGTCTCCGCTGGCTTGGGCCAGGCAGTCTCCACCGCTGTCTTCCTCTCTAGTTCCCTCTGCTGATTCCGCACGTTTTCGATTTCTGCAGCCATCTGTGTCAACTGTGTAAGGGATGTAAAATCGTGCCTCCGTACGTACAACCTATATTCCGGGGATGCGTTTTCGTAGGCCCTGTTTAACTCTTGGGCCGGGCTGCGTCTAGCCTGACGCATTAACAAACGCTCGATTAAGTAATCCTTGAAGGGTTCGCCTTCCCGCTGCCGGCGCGCTTGAATCTGGTCCTCCAGGCGCTCGAGGTATTGGGGAGGTAAGAAGAAGTCCAGGAACTCTTTCTTGAATTCCAACCAGGGCACATCTCTTAGCCCACTGGTTAGGAACCACTTGGCCGCCTTGTCTACCAGCACCTCGCTTAGCGCCCTCGGCTTCCGGTCGAGTTCGATTCCGTACGTGAACGCCCGCTCCTCCAGAATTTCAATAAAACCAAGGGGGTCCGACCGTCCGTCGTACCTCATCCCCCATTTTCGAACCTGCTCAGCTACGTTCCACGGCGGGTGCCTTTCCGACGGCGGAGAGGGGACAGGAATCCGACGATCTGCCTTCGGTGCCGGTGCGAGCACCTTGTCTTCGTCGCCAAAACAGAATTCCCGCGGCCTCTCATCCCTCCGATTACCAGTCGTACCACTCGCAGTGGGTATGCTCAGATTCAACGATGCTGTCGAGAGGGGGTCGCGTTCTTGAGCTTTCCGTAGATCCGGCTCTGACTTCTTATAGGCGCGGCCGCCCATGCTTGTCGCTGCGCCTCCCAGAGAGAATCCTGGTTCTTTTGCAAAACGCGCCTCTCACTCAACTAGCCTCCCTTTCATTTCCGCCGAATAGTTGCCGCCCTGGATGAACGACGACAACCTCTTTCTCAAATCCTCCACGCGGCCCTCGTCTTCGAGGCCGAGATCCCGTGCTACAGCTATCAATTCCTCCTTACAGCGCTGGTAGACCCAGCCGACGCTTAGTCCCGAACTGTGGGATGTTCCTCTTTCCATTCTTGATGCCTGGATACTCTGCTTCCTTGTTCGCTTATACTAATCTCCCCCAGTTGTTTTGCTTACTCAATTTTTATCCACTTATTCTGTATTTTGCTTTGTTTCGCTCACTTAATCTAGTTTTCTTTTCTTTGTTCTTTTCTTCCTTTTTTTCTCTCTCCTTGTCGTTCATTTTTTTTTTTCTTTTTTATTTATTATTATTATTTCTTATTTCGTATTTCTTCTTTATTATTATTTCTTATTCTATACAATTTCGATTGCTTTTACCGTCTTTATCTATCTTATTTTACTTCTTTATTCTCTTCTGTGTCTTTTTACACTCATTCTAGTTTTGCTTTACTTTTCTTTATTCGTCTTAATCTATTTTGTTCTCTTTTACTTTTCTTCTTTATTTCATCTTAATCTATTTTGTTTTCTTTATTTCGTTTTCTTTATCCTTCTTAATCTAATTTGTTTCATTTCTTTCGTTTTCTTTATCCTTCTTAATCTAATTTGTTTCATACTGCTTTCTTCATTCTTCTTAATCTATTTTGTTTTATTTCGCTTTCTTTATTTCGTCTTAATCTAGTTTAGATTATTTTACTTTTCCTTATTTGATTTAATTTTTTTCCCCTAATTTTACTTCTTTATTGACTTTATCCTTTTTTTTTTTTAAGTTACTGATCCTGTTTTGTTATATTTTGTTTTCTTATACTTTCCGCTCGCTCGTCCAACTCAATTTTGCTTCGCTTTCACTACCGTTTTACTTGAATTTACTTTTCTTCTCTTTACTCTTGTTGCTTTACTTGACTTTACTATTCTCTACTTATTTCCGCCTTATTTTCTCGACCCTACTTCCCTCTACTCTTATTTTTATTACTCCGCTTTTATTCTGCTTCACTCCGCTTCAGTTTTCTTGGCTTTATTTTCTCTTCACTTTATTTCATATTGCCTCACTTCATCTTCACTTGACTTGACTTCGATTTACGCTATTTTCTGCTTCGCTCCGCTCCGTTTTTTTAGTAATATTTTATTTTATTTTATTTGATTTTATTTGATTTTATTTGATTTTATTTGATTTTATTTGATTTTATTTGATTTTATTTGATTTTATTTGATTTCATTTGATTTTATTTGATTTTATTTTATTTTATTTTATTTTATTTCATTTCATTTCATTTCAAAATCGCCTAATGTCATATGACCGTTTGTTCTCTCTCAACTTACTCTCCCACATACATATGCACATATGTACCCTTGCCCATGCGCGCGTAGTACTCTTCACTATTCACTCTCTCTTAACTGAGCGCTACGTATGTGTATACATATATACGCACGCATGCACCCGCGCACATACATATATACACTCTGCCGTTCACCCTCTCTTAACTAATTGTCTCACATGCACATACATATATACGCACGCTTGCCTACGCGCACGGTTGTATTGCTGATCGCGCGCCCGCCCACTAATTTGAATTTCCGCTTATGTTCTAAAACTAACTGCTATAACACTTACGACTACTTATTAACTACTTAGTACTATTTTACAAACTAATGCTTATTCTACTTATAGCCTAACTTACTCTCTACCAAAATATAACTTCATAATTCAACTCATTACCTATGAAGCAAAAAATATAAATCGACGACTTCAATTGCGTCACTTCAAAATATAACAAAACATAGTTCAACCGTTTCCGCTTATTTACTGCAAACTAAAAATATAATTCCGAATCCAAGCTCCTCTCTACTGTAACCAAAATACTGCTTCACTTTAGATTATTCAACTTATTCACTACTTTACAAAAATATAATTCCAAATTCAAACTCCTCTCTATTAACAATGGGTATAATGTAAGGTGGGCAAATAGGCCACCTTACAGGACCCAATTTAATCTTCTTTCGCTGGAGGTGGTGCCCACAGTTAATAATTTGTCTTCTCTAGAGGATCGCAACCTAAAACCACTTACAGTCACGCAGCATCAATTGCTGCTGCAACACGTTAACATGTTCCCTTCTTTTGCTAAACTGGGCTTAGGACGAACAACTCTTCTTTCGCTTGAGATTAATGTCGCCGGAGCAGCTCCAATTAAGCAACGTCATTATCCCGTTTCACCAGAAGTAGAAAAGTTAATGTACAAAGAGCTGGACAGAATGCTTAAATTAGGCGTGATAGAGGAGTCACAAAGCGCTTGGTCTTCTCCAGTTGTGTTAATTCGCAAACCAGGAAAGGTTCGTTTGTGTTTAGATAGCAGGCGTGTTAATGCGGTTACCATTAAGGATGCATATCCTATGCCGTTCATTGATGGCATTCTTAGTAGGCTTCCAAAAGCTGAATTCATAACCAGCTTAGATTTAAAAGACGCGTTCTGTCAAATTCCATTAGAGCCAAAATCAAGCGATAAAACCGCATTAAGCGTACCTGGTAGGCCGTTGTATCAATACACTGTTATGCCTTTTGGGCTTTGTAATGCTCCACAGACAATGTCGAAGTTAATGGATAAAGTAATTCCCACTAATCTGCGTCGTGAAGTTTTTATCTATTTAGATGACTTGTTGGTAGTATCGGATACTTTCGAACGGCATCTAAATGTCCTAAAAGAGTTAGCGAATCAGATAAAAACAGCAGGTTTGACCATCAATATTGAGAGAAGTAATTTCTGTCTCAAAGAGGTAAAATATTTAGGTCATGTGAATCGCAATGGTACAGTTAGCACAGATCCAGATAAGATTGCATCTATCGCAGAATTCCCAGTTCCTAGGTCGGTCAAACAAGTTAGGCGGTTTTTAGGCATAACTGGATGGTATAATAAATTTATTCAGAACTATGCCACCATTGCATCCCCTATAACCGACACGCTGAAACATAAACAAAAATTAGTATGGGGTGAATCAGCACAAAAGGCGTTCGAAGAACTCAAGGAGAAGCTTAGTACGGCTCCAGTTTTGCATAGCCCAAATTTTGACAGACCATTCTCTATGCACTGCGATGCCAGCCATACAGGTGTTGGTGCTGTGTTAGTTCAGGTAACGGACAATAATGAAGAGGTACCGGTGGCTTTTATGTCTCGTAAACTTAACCGTTGCCAAAGGAATTATTCCGTAAAGGAAAAAGAATGTCTGGCAGCTATTTTAGCGATACAAAATTTAGAGCTTACGTTGAAGGGCAAGAATTTGCTGTAGTCACAGTTCATGCTTTCCTAAAATGGCTCATGTCTCAAACTGACTTAAGTTCTCGGTTAGCAAGGTGGGCTTTAAAACTTCAGGGTTATGATTTTAAAATAGTCCATAGAAAAGGCAGTCAAAACATTGTACCAGATGCTTTATCGCGAGTATACACAGAAGATGTGTCTGCAATTTCAGCCGATTGTCTAGTGGATCTCGAGTCGGTTCATTTCAAGACGTCTGACTATCAAGAACTTAAAGCCAAAATATTACCCAATCAATCTAGATCACCAGATGTGAAGGTAGTTAACGATTATATATATCGGAGAGCCGATCACGCGTCGGGTGAGAAAGTAGCCGATGATCTGTGTTGGAAACTTTGGGTTCCCTAATCGCTGGTTCCAGAAGTCCTTAAGAAGGCCCACGAGCCTCCACTAGCTTCTCACCCAGGCATAAACAAGATGCTAGATAAGCTGCGCCGCTATTTTTATTGTCCAAAAATGGTAGTAGATGTACAAAAATTCGTTAATGATTGCGATAGTTGCAAGTGCAATAAGCACCCAAATTATACACTTCGTCCACCCTTAGGAAAATCGGGCTCAACGCAACACGAGTTCCAAAAGCTTTATATTGATTTTCTAGGTCCATATCCGCAAAGTCGCACCAGGAATATAGGAGTCTTTGTTGTTTCATTGCTTCGGAGTTCCCGAAACTATAGTCTCTGACAACGGTGTACAGTTCAAGTCTCAGCTGTTCAACGTATTATTGCAAAAGTATGGAATTAATCATACATATACGGCCGTTTACTCTCCACAAGCAAATGCTTCGGAGCGAGTCAACCGATCGGTGATAGCAGCAATAAAGTCATATATTGCACCTGACCAAAAAGATTGGGACGCGCATCTAAGCTCTATTTGTTGCGCTTTGCGTTCAGACGTGCATTCGGCTATCGGCACTAGCCCTTATCGACTCGCCTTTGGTCAAAATATGGTGACCAATGCATCCACGTAATTTGAACTTCTTAGAAGATCGCGCAATTCAATTTAATCGCGACGATTCATTTGATCTTATACGCGATAGAGCAAAAGATTGCATGCAACAACAACGTATCCGAAACGAGAACACATATAATATGCGTTGTCGCGTGTTTCATTTGTGGTAGGCCAGGAAGTTTACAGGCGTAATTTTCAACAAAGTAATTTTGTACGGGGCTTCAATGCGAAACTAGCTCCGAACTTCGTGAAGGCAAGAATAAAGAAAAAACTTGGCGATAGTTATTATGAAATTGAAGATTTGCAGGGTTGCTTGATTGGTAAATACTATGCAAAATACCTAAAACAATAATCGCAGAGTCCAGCGCGAATCACCCTATTAGTGTGATTTGGGTAGGGGGGTCTTGTAGTGGCGCTGGAATAGCGAAAATAGATATGCGAATAGAGAAAAAAGAAACAGCCTAAAAGTAGGCAATCCGCTGAGCAAGGAGTGGCTTAGCGTAGTTGAGCGCTATCGCGAATCTGGCAATCACGAATCTGCATTAATAACAGGAGCAATTGTCACTCTCACCTAGGCTATAAGAACTGTTCCCAAGCGATGACTTCCGCTTCATGGGATCGGCCATATTTTCTTTCTTTCTTTCGCATCTCAACCACCGACTACAAAGGTTGCATAAAAATTTCGCTGTGAAAACTTGATTTGAGAATTATGAAAAATTTAAATTTTTTTGTGAAAGTGCCAAGTCAATAAGCGGTTTGGCACCCAGCCTAAAATTTAATCTTTTTGCTAGCGTGCAATTAAGCCAGCAGCCGCGCGCAACTAAACTCACGCATCGCGCTGTCTGAATAGCTACAGCTGCACGCATCTACCCATACGCATTGCGTAGTCTGGCTAGTTGAAAAATACATATTCTTATATCTTCTCACCTGCCACGCCTTTGCACGGACTTACTGCTGCACGAATCACTATTTGAGTTAAAAAAGGCACAGCCATCTCGCCAACTTTTGAGAGTATTAATTAAATAATTAATACCATCGGCAATACCGGCTTATTTTTTCTTGCACTGTTTTTGAGCGATTACATCATGAAATAAATAATAAAATAATATAAGATAATCATAATCGCTAAGCAATATAAATTATGTATCCATACCTCAACCTCCTCTCAATGAAAATTCCTTATTAGCTATTGTAACTTCTTTAGTTTTCACTATCCGCTTTTGTTTCCTTTTTTTTTCATACATTATATTTTTTTTTTTTTTTGTAGTTACATTTATAAATTCTAGCACATCTTGCAGCCACACCGAAACGGAAGCGCTTTCATCGCGGGATATTACTGTAAGTTAAGCACTATTTCATATTTAGCACTTTTAGCATATTTGATATTATTATATTTATTGTCAGCGTTAATGTCAGGCACCGCATTGGAAAAAACATAATGCATAAGCAATAATCTTCTTACTAATCCATTATCTTCATTTCGATCAGCTGATCGTTAATATCCCTGAGAGAAAAAGCTCTCCAAAAGCTCCCTTATCGTTTTCTTATCTTCTCTTTTGCCTTCTGCCCAAAGCAACAATGTATAATTATTTTGTTATTGTGGGAACCGGCACCGAGATGCTAAGCAGAAAGCGACGCCTACAAAGCAGAGCCCGTTAACACTCTCTCTTGATAATCTCTTGTTACTTCTCTCCCCATTCAAGCTCTAGCGTTTAGTACTTTTGTGACAAGCTAAGCGGCCGCATTGAAGCGGAACAATATATGTATCATTACTTTGGAAATAAAGTGTTTTATGTAAAGTAGCGGGTTATTACATTGGCGACGAGGTGAAAAAAATGTAAAAATATAACAAACTAGATAATTATAGTTAAATAAAAAGAAAAAGATGAAACAGAACGGTGAAAAAGAAAAAAAAACAATATAAATGCAGCGTGGCTGTGTCAATGCAATTCCAATGCCTGGATAGGATCCGTTAGTTTTCGTTGTCTTTCCCTTTTCGCGTGACGTTTTTTGTGCTCGCGAGTTCGAAGAGAAAGAAAGAGAAATATTCGTAAGAGAAACCCTAAAGCAATGTAATTACAAGAAGCGTAAGTGTGAATGTATACACACATACGGACGCGTACACATGAACATGCAAAATAAAGTAAAATGCGTGGCTCACGGGCAATGAAAAAAAAAAAAAGAAGAAAGTGAAAGAGATGCCGACTAATTATTCAATTATTATGAAATAAGAAGTATTATCTGACAAAGGTCAGGGGAAAGGAAAAAAATCCGACTAAATATTAGACAAATGTTTAAAAAGATGACGATCTGACAAAGGTCAGAGGCAAAAGGCCGATTAGTATTAAACAAATGTTTAATAAATAGAATTATCTGACAAAGGTCAGTGGCAAAACGCCGATTAGTATTAAACAAATGTTTAATAAATAGAATTATCTGACAAAGGTCAGAGGCGGAATGCCGATCGAATATTCAATAAATGTTTAATAAATAGAATTATCTGACAAAGGTCAGAGGCGGAATGCCGATTAGATATTAAACAAAAGTTTAATAAACATTTCTTATATTATCTGACAGTGGTCAGTGGCAGTCCGCCGATGAGAAAGTCAATAAAATGCAACTTGCTAGACAGAAGCATCTAATTAATGGTTGATTTTATTTGCAGACAAACATCTATACTTGATCGCAATGACCGAAAGCGTCATAAAACCTTTCTTATGTGAAAGCTTGGGAAACGCACTACTACAGAATGAATGGGAAAAATGGTTGCGAGCTTTCATGATTTATCTGGAGGTGGAAGATGTCAAATCAGTAATTCAGAAAAGAACAAAATTGTTACATTTAGGTGGTACCCAATTGCAAACGGTTGCATACGCATTGCCGGGTGCCATAGTAGAATTTAGCGAGGCCGATCAAAACGATGTCTTTACTGTTTTAGTCGATAAGTTGACAGCTTATTTCTCCCCAAAGCAGAATTCGACTTTTGAAAGACACCTTTTTAGGAAAATCTCTCCCGAAGAAGGTGAAACATTTGGAAAGTTCATTTTGCGGTTGCGTCAACAAATTCAAAAATGTAATTTTGGATCTACAAAGGCCGAAATAGAAGAAATTTGTTTTAAAGATAAAATCATCGATACGTGGGTTAGTACAGAGCTAAAAAAGAAACTATTAGAAAAAGAACATACTTTAAACGAAATTATCGAAGCCTGCCAAGTGGACGAGGAAATAAATAAGCAGTCGCAGCTGATGCAATCGAAGCCAGTGCCAGAAACCATACATAAAATAACTAATTTAAAATCGGGGAAGATTGGGGATTGTGGAAGGTGCGGACGGCCAGGACACAGGGAAGACAGTCCAATGTGTCCAGCACGTCAAGTTAAGTGCAGTCGCTGCTCTCGCGTAGGTCATTTTGCCCGCAGATGCAGAACAAACCTTAAACGCCCATACCCACATTCGAATAATAAAGAAGCGATAGGAAATCCCAAGCGCAAATATGTGCATAGAATTGAAAACGGGAATCCCGAGGGAAATAAGACAATCCAACGAAATTGTTTTAAGATAGACAGTGACGAGGAGTATGAGGAGATGATGCAATGCAGAATTGGAGGGGCGGATGTTTCACTAGTAATCGATTCGGGATCTCGATTTAACATTATCTCGCAAGACGATTGGTTAACTCTTCAATTGAAAAAGGCAACAGTTTTAAATGTCCGCGGAAGTTCACAAAATCAATTTAGGGGATATGCCTCAGATCAAATTCTTAACGTTATTTGTATTTTCGAGGCACCAATATCTATCAAGTTGAACGCCGAGGTGATTGCATCCTTTTTCGTAATTGAAAAAGGACGGCAGTCACTGCTGGGACGAGAAACGGCAACGAAGTTGAACGTTCTGCGAGTGGGACTACCGATTAACAACATTGAGTTCGTGCCACCATTTCCCAAGTGGAAAGGTGTTAGAGTGAAGCTAACCATAGACCCCTACGTTAATCCCGTGAAACAACCAATGAGGCGCATTCCGGTGGCGCTCGAAGGGAGAGTCAATGCCAAGTTAGAGGAAGCCTACAAACTGGACATCATTGAACCGGTCGAGGGTCACAGCCCGTGGATATCTCCGATGGTGATCACGTTCAAGGGTAATGGTGATATTCGTATATGCTTGGATATGAGGCAAGCCAACCGGGCGATTCTTCGTGAGAACTACCCTTTGCCAACATTTGAATCTTTTATGACTAAATTAAAAAACGCCAGAATATTTTCACGACTGGATCTTAAGGACGCGTATCATCAATTGGAGTTGGATGAATCAAGTAGGCAGATAACGACCTTCATTACACCTCGGGGCCTATTTAGGTATAAGCGACTAATGTTTGGAATAAATGCGGCGCCGGAAATCTTTCAACGACGAATGGAAGAACTCTTAGCACCGTGCAACAACGTAATGAATTATATCGACGACGTTATAATATTCGGGGATAGCAAAGAAGAGCACGATAAAACACTGGAACAGATTAGAAGCATTTTTAAAGATAATAATGTAACTCTAAATAATGAAAAATGCAGTTGGGAAACAAACAGAATTAAATTTTTAGGACACATCTTAACAGACAAAGGAATTGAAGTAGATCCTGACAAAACAGAGTCTATTAGATTATTTCGGGCACCCAAAAATAAGGAGGAGACTCGTAGTTTCCTAGGACTAGTAACCAATGTGGGCAAGTTCATCGCAGACCTAGCAGACCTAACGGAACCCTTACGTGAGCTAGTAAAGAAAGATCGGAAGTTTACTTGGGGACCAACTGAAGAAAATGGGTTTCAGAAACTAAAGTCAGTATTGACTAAGATCCCGAACCTCTCATATTTTAATCCCAAAAATAAAACACGATTAATCGCTGATGCCAGCCCTGTGGCTCTGGGTGCGATACTATTACAATTTAACGATGAGGGGGAACCAAACATAATCGCATTTGCTAGTAGAAGCTTAACAGATGTAGAAAAGCGTTACTCCCAGACAGAAAAAGAGAGTTTAGCTTTGGTATGGGCAGTAGAGAAATACTATTTCTATTTGATAGGACTAGAGTTTGAATTAGTGACAGATCATAAGCAACTAGAAACCATTTTTAAGCCAACATCAAAGCCTCCAGCGCGTATCGAGAGATGGCTTCTGCGTCTTCAAGCATATAAATTTAAAGTTATTTACAAATCGGGAAAGGAAAACATTGCTGATAGTCTGTCCCGGCTGTGTGAGCAAACACCATCCAGTTGCTACGATATCAAGGGGGAGCACAGCATATTGCGAATTGTTGAAAGCTCTGCACCAATACCAATATCTATATCTGAAATTGCGGAAAACAGCACAATAGATGAGGAAATAGTAGACGCGATGACGTGCCTTCAACAGGGCTCTTGGGATTCGGCAATGTCGAAAAAATTATATCCATTTCGACATGAACTGTCGGCTATTGGAGCAATTATGCTTAGAGGAGTTCGAATCGTTATCCCAACAACATTGAGACAAAAAGTGCTGGTGCTGGCACATGAGGGACATCCAGGGGAATCGGCCATGAAGCGGAGATTGAGGTCCAAAGTCTGGTGGCCCCAAATTGACAGAGACACCGAAAAATTCGTGAAGAATTGTTTTGATTGTATTCTGGGGTCCCAAGCAACAAATCCACCACCAATGAAGAGAACAGAATTTCCGAATGGGCCATGGATTTCGGTCGCTACAGATCTCTTAGGGCCGTTACCCAACAATGAATATATCTTAGTTCTAATAGACTATTACTCCAGATACATGGAGTTTAAGGTTCTACGCTCCATCACATCTGAATCATTAATTGGGGCGTGTAAGGAAATTTTTAGTAGGCTGGGTTACCCGAAACAATTGCGAACTGATAATGGCCGACAATATATAAGCCTTGAGTTCAAAAACTACTGTAAATCGTGCGGCATCGAGCAACTCAAGAATGTAGTTTTTCCCCACAAATTAACACCAATGTTTGACACTACTGAATACGAAGTTTTAAAAAGAGAAGGGAATATAGTACAAGTGAGTGGGGGAGGGAAAACGCTCTTAAGGAATGCAAATCACCTTAAAAGGGTCCTGGGTGAAACGGAACCGGCCGATGTCACCAACGCGAAATCGGTTCCAATACCGGCCACAAAACCAACTCCACAGCCAGCCGCACAATTCGAGGACCAAGCACCAGCAGAGGATCACGGAAACTCCACTGAGGGACTAAAGCTCAAGCTCGTGAGGAAAGGAGGGATGTGGGAACCGGCACCGAGATGCTAAGCAGAAAGCGACGCCTACAAAGCAGAGCCCGTTAACACTCTCTCTTGATAATCTCTTGTTACTTCTCTCCCCATTCAAGTTCTAGCGTTTAGTACTTTTGTGACAAGCTAAGCGGCCGCATTGAAGCGGAACAATATATGTATCATTACTTTGGAAATAAAGTGTTTTATTTAAAGTAGCGGGTTATTACAGTTATTATTAAATATAATGAAGTTTAACTAAGTTTGATTATTTTGGGGGCCATGCGGCGCGTTTTTGTACGTTTTTCTTAGCTCTCCAAGCTGGGGGGATCGCTGTCAATAAAGGCAGGTAGCCAACGATCAAGGTATGGTGGGCACGGTCGGTCGCCTTAATATCGACTTTCGCTGAGCAGGCATATATTTGCTTGCGCAACGAGACCCACCTTGGTCAGGTATGTTTGTGTGCGTCTAAGTCTTTCCTATCTCTCTTGCTTTCTTCTTTTTCTAAACAAGTGGCCGGTGATAGTCCTTTGCACGCGAATTTTATTTATAAATATAACTTGGCAGCGCTAGGAGTTGCAGCTCCCCTCTTCATACCCTCTCCCCCCTTCCCGATGACCCAATGGCCGGATCTAGCGCGTGCGCTGCACCATCCCTCCTAATCAACCATCTGCGCAATATACTGTAACACGTTACAGTTGGCAAAACTGAAATAGATTCACTGTTGCAGCGCCATCTAGAAGAACTGTATGTGTGCACATTGAATATGGGAAATCAGGGTATAATGATTTTGTTCAATGCATGTAACAGGCAGAATGAGGCGTGGCAGACCCCATAAAGTATATATATTCTTGATCAGGGCGACGAGCTGAGTCGATTTAGCTCTGTCCGTTTGTCCGTATGTTTGAACGCGTCAATCTCAGAAGATATAAGAGCTAGAGACTTGAAATTTTATTTTCCTAGATCCGTGCATACCAGTTTTGCTTTAAATATCGAAAACTTGCCCCGTTTTTTTGATATCCATTAAAAGCCCTATCGAAAAGCAGTAATAAATTTATGTCTCCTACATCTTTAATGCTAGCGTTACCAACTTAAATAAATCAAATAAACACAGAAAGTTGTATATTCAAAGTTTATTAAAATGTATCTTGTGACACTGGTAATCGCCTTATGTTAAGTATAGCCGGATGTCCTTGTGTATCCTTTACAAGGTGCTTTATATTTATAGATGTTTAATGTATATACTAGTATAAATTACTGTTAAAAAAAAAAAAAAAAAAAAAAAAACTAATAATATACATTCGTACGAACAATTCTTGCGGTGCTAAGAATGTTTTTCAAACTTTCATAACTTTTTTGGTCTTTAATTTTTATAGTGGACTTTCGGATAACGAACGCCACGCCACGCCACGGATAAAATTGGAAAACTTTTATTCTATCCAAAATCTTTGTCTGTCTTAAACAACGAGGGGAAACACCGAATACACTTTTCATTGTCTGTTTTAGCATTTTTGGCACCTTTTGCATGCAATTTAAGTGCAAACATTTTTAAGATATGATAGTTTCGGTTAATTAAATTTTCGCTTGATGCTGGAACGAATTGTATTCGTTAACCGAGTGTCCACTATATATGTATATATTATATTTATATTATTTCTATAATATTATGCATAGAACGTTTTGGTTATGCGTTATAGTAAGTATTGAACAACATGTACGAGAGTTTGAAAATGTATTTAAAACGAGTAAAAGTGGTCCAGCCGAAAATAGACGATAAAGTGGTACCCTCTATTTAAAGTCCATGCTGAAATATACATTTTTTCGTATAATATACCTACATGCATACATACATATATGCATATGCTATAATATTAAAGTTTATGTTAATTTTCCTATTTTATGTGCATTTAAGAAAAAAATGGTTGATTTTTGCTTAAGCTTATATTTCACATATTTATTATTTTATTATAATTCAAATTAATGCAAGTAAGACTGCTCTAGTCGAGACTGCTAAGAAATCCCCTGAATCTTTCCAGGAACTCAAAATCAATACATTTCCATTTCCATATTGACAATCGAGGTCAAAAAAAGTGCGTGCAATTGGTGGCAGATGTAAAGATTATTGCTTACGCGTTTCCCGCTGAAAAGGATGTGGGCAGGTGCCTAAGCAAATAATTATATATGCATACGTATGTACATACGCATGTACATATTAAATATCAACTGAAAGGTATTGAGGCGTAGATCATATAAATAGGTCTATATACACTAGTCGGCATAAGTATTTGGACGAAATCATGTTGTGCATGCCAAATTTTATGCTGTTTACATTTTCCATTCTCTTTCTGCTGATAAGACTGCATGCAAGCATCGAATTTTCAATTGTCTATTCAGTTTTGAGCAGTTGACAACCAATTCATTTTTATACCCTGAACACATTTTCAATGGGAAATCAGGGTATAATGGTTTTGTTAAATGTATGTAACAGGCAGAAGGAGGCGTGGCAGACCCCACAAAGTATATATATTCTTGATCAGCGTGACGAGTTGAGTCGATATAGCCCTGTCCGTCTGTTCGTCTGTCCGTATATATGAACGCGTCGATTTCAGAAGATATAAGAGCTAGAGACTTAAATTTGTTTTAAATGTCCGTATTTACAGCGCGGATATCGAGTTTATCATTAAAAATCGATAACTCATCCTGACCGTTTTTATCGATAAAAAACCGCATCGAAAACGAGTTATAAAATTATATCTTCTACACCTTTATTGCTAGAGTCTCCAAATTTTCAATGTATGCTTATATGCAATTTATACAATTTCGGTTTTTGTTTAAATTTACCCCCCACCCCCATATCCACCCCCTCATCCCCATGTTTGTAAAAAGCGTATTTCAAATAGTAGAGTGCTTTGGCAAATACATGCATGTCCATGTTGTTATCATAATCTGAAAGTTTCATGAAGATCGTATGTCCACAAAAAAAATTATTCATCAATTATTCAGCCCATGCGTGTTTATGCGTGGGTGCTTGTGTGTGTATGTGTGTGTGTAAATGTTTGTGTATGTGTGTGTGTGCGCGTGTGTGCGTGTTTCTTGTGTAAGCTGAAAAACGCGAAAAATGATTGAAATAGCTATTGCTCCAAGGGTTCAGGGGATCTCGTAGTCGAGCAGTCTCGACTAGAGCTTTCTTAATTGTTTTTTTTTTTTTTTTTTTTTTTTTTTGTATTTTGTATTTTGATATACATCCTGTGGCGACGCTGCAATTTTTGGAGCACCATTGTCCGTTTCTGCGCTGAACTTTTTCAAAAGCCAGTGGCCAATTCTATTAAATTTGGAGTAGTTCGAAAATATGAATCATCACCGCAATTTTGTTTATTTTTTCAAATCTAAACGAGCTTTTTGCATTCTCTGGTTGAGAATCGCTTTTTTTTGACTGGTTTTCTTGCCATTGACCTCATCTTATTGATCCGAAATTAAATAGTTCGAGCTGAAACTTGTTTAGCTAATTGATGCTGCACTTTGTTGCATTTTCTACAGAATTTTCGAAGTGATCCTGGAGGCTCATTTTTATACTAACATGATTCTCCCATTGAATTTTCTAATAATTCCTGCCTAAACATTTTGTTTAACCAATGCGAAAATTATAGTAACTTTTCCTGCGAGGGTCATCAGATTTCTCCGCTAAATGGAATTATAGCAATTGACATACCGAAATTTGTACAAAAAGTGAAGAAAAAATCGCAGGAAGCTTCGAAAATAATAGTTAAGCGAATAAAATAACATTTAGGGAAACCCCGACAAAGAGAAGGTAAAGGTTATCTTAACCTTAAAGTGCGGATTTTTTCATTGTAGCTGGGTGTACGTATTTCTAAAAACATGTGCGTATATAACTTTTGGTATGTTTATACCTTAAATTATTATTATTTTCGTATAATTTCCTATATTGTTAAAAAAATTTAGAAAACCAAAAATAAACATTCCTTTTATCGTATTTATATTTAAACTATAGCCTAATTCTTTTTATAGAATATTACAGTTATCAAATTTCTGCTAGCATAGCAAATAAGTACATATAACAATAACTTATATATAAATAAATATATTTAAAACTTTGCAAGTACTTTAAGTAATTATAGAGAGGACAAATTACACTAGTAGCAGTATTTACAATATTTTTGATTTAAATTATGGTTTAGTCAATTAATATAGTCCGTTTAAAAATATACACTTTCAAATGAGATGTTTTTGATACCATTTACCGCATTTGATTACTTTATATTATATATGTATTATTTTTGGAATACAGATAGAATACAAAGTAAGTTCTAACCAATCATATCTGAAGTTTAAATTTAATAATATTAACGTCAAATGTAAGACAAACTTAGAATCCTTATGAACAAAATTAATAGGTGTTTGTGTATCTACATCCGTATATAGTCCTAGGTAGCTATGTAGTTGGTGGCATATGGCTGTTATCCAATTTATTTCGGAGTGATCGTTGACGCTGGAGACTTCGGCAGTTTGCTAGAAAGATTGAGCTTGGTATATTTGTTTTGCTCACTGCACTTTTATTGTAGTGGTTGGTATCTTGATGAATAGACAGCGTGTGTGACTTCAAGAAGAACAATAATCCGCATGACAGCAGCACTAGTGCAATCAATTCCGGCGGTTGTAAGGGTGCCGAGTTTCCATGATGCATAGCCGCAGGATGCTCGCCTATGAATAATAAAGTATAATATTGAGCAAATGTATGTGTTTGTGACATAATGCGTATATATAGCACATACATACGTATGTTAGTGGTAAAATCATTTAATTAAAGATTCTCTCAAAATACATTGTAAGTAGCAATATACATAGTCAGCTATAAGTTTGTATGAATACACATATGCCTATATACGTAAATATGAACACACAGCAAGTTCATACAGTTTGGCAAGAAAGTGTTTACACAGAGGGAAAATATTTTACTTTTTTGCTTTGAAGCGAAATAAAAACAGTAAGAATATGCATATTCAAATTTTTATACTCATTCACGAAAGTGAATCAGTATATTGGTTTTGTGCAATGTCCGTCTTGCTGTCCGTCCGTCTGTCCGTATGAACGCAATCTATTTCGGCGCTATTGAAGCTAGAGACTTGAAATTTGGAACACATACTCGTGTATATCTCCGATTTATAAAGTGTTAAAATTTTCCCGATCCGCCCTCTAGGGGCGTGGCAAATCGGAAAATGCATTTTCCGATATACCAGAAATCATGTTAGTTAAAGAGCTAGAAATCTGAAATTTGGTATGTAGGTCCGAGTTGACCACCAAAGATCACGAGCTATGGCGGATATATCTACGCCCATTGGGGGCGTGGCAAATCGGACCTGAAGATATAGTGATTTTTTAAATTCTCCTATATTTTGGACACTATTGATGGCAGAGACCTAAAATTTTGTGTATATACTCGGACTGATCACCCAGGGGGGGATCACAGGGGGCGTGACAAACCGCAAAAGTTTATATCTCCTAAAGTATAATAGCTAGAAGCTCCAAATTTGGATAGTTGAGTTACTGGTAGCCTCCTCTATCGATTCCCCAAAAATAATTTTTACGCCTCTTTAGGGGCGTGGCATATCGAAAAATGCCCTGTAATTTTCACATTTCTTGAGGGTAAGCATTCAAACTTTGCAGTTAGGGTACTGTTATCTCTTTCTAAAAACTGACCAAAAATGAGGTGTCTACGCCCAGTTGGGGCGTGGCAAATCGGAAAAACCTGTATATTCTACAGTATTAGAACGAAACTTAACTACTAAATTGTTGATGGGATGTGAATGAGTATTCCGCAGTCGGTAACGCCCGACTGCAACGTTCTTACTTGTTATACCCTGAACCCATTGAAAATGGGAAATAGAGGTGGGCACGGGCCGAATTTTTTGCACCCGGCCCGATCCGCCCACGGTCAGAAGTTCAAAATTTTATCCGTACCCGAAAGCAAAAAAAATTGTCATACCCGCGCCCAACCCGCCCGCCCGAAACAATTACAACAAATTTAATTCTCAAACATTACAATTTTTTTTTCTCAAAAATAACAACAATTTTATTCTTAAAAATTACAATATTATTTACAGAAATATTACATGTTTTTATATAAGAAAAGGAGCATATCAAGATTTGCGCTTGATAGCCTTGTTCGCCTTTCATTTAAAATTTTTCCAGAAGAGGAGAATACTCGCTCGCTTGTTGCAGAGCTTACCGGAATACATAAAATATTTTTGGCCACCACTTGCAACAATTTAAGGTTCGTTGCCTCCTGCCAAAAATTTAAGATTGACAAGTTTGAATTATAGCGTGTGGCATAATATTTATCAATTTCTAAGTCAATTGCATTTTTGTCAGGTTCGTCAAGCTTTCTTTTTATACTCATTCACGAAAGTGAATCAGTATATTGGTTTTGTGCAATGTCCGTCTTGCTGTCCGTCCGTCTGTCCGTCTGTCCGTCTGTCCGTCCGTCCGTCTGTCCGTATGAACGCAATCTATTTCGGCGCTATTGAAGCTAGAGACTTGAAATTTGGAACACATACTCGTGTATATCTCCGATTTATAAAGTGTTAAAATTTTCCCGATCCGCCCACTAGGGGCGTGGCAAATCGGAAAATGCATTTTCCGATATACCAGAAATCATGTTTGTTGAAGAGCTAGAAAGCTGAAATTTGGTATGTAGGTCCTCGTTGACCACCCAAGATCACGAGCTATGGCGGATATATCTACGCCCATTGGGGGCGTGGCAAATCGGATAAAACTGTATCTCCTAAAGTTGTAAACCTAGAATGCTGAAATTTGGCACGTCAGCTAATGGTATGATTCTATAAAGTCTGAAGATAAATTACAAGTCTACGCCCATTGGGGGCGTGGCAAATCGGACCTGAAGATATAGTGATTTTTTAAATTCTCCTATATTTTGGACACTATTGATGGCAGAGACCTCAAATTTTGTATATATACTCGGACTGATCACCCAAGACCAAAAAGTTTTGTCGGATATATGTCCGCCCACAGGGGGCGTGGCAAACCGCAAAAGTTTATATCTCCTAAAGTATAATAGCTAGAAGCTTCAAATTTGGATAGTTGAGTTACTGGTAGCCTCCTCTATCGATTCCCCAAAAATAATTTTTACGCCTCTTTAGGGGCGTGACATATCGAAAAATACCCTGTAATTTTCACATTTTTTGAGGGTAAGCATTCAAACTTTGCAGTTAGGGTACCGTTATCTCTTTCTAAAAACTGACCAAAAATGAGGATTCTACGCCCAGTTGGGGCGTGGCAAATCGGAAAACCTGTATAATCTACAGTATTAGAGCGAAACTTAACTACTAAATTGTTGATGGGATGTGAATGAGTATTCCGCAGTCGGTAACGCCCGACTGCAACGTTCTTACTTGTTTTTGGTTGATTTTTGTCCAAAAACTCTTGAAATTCATGATTCAAATTTGGCGGAGAGTTTTCAATTTTCGCGTCCTCAACTGAATCATTTTGCATATCATAAATTTCTGACATCATGCATTTAACGGTTTCTAAGACATGATTTTTTTTTCAGCTGGCAAAAAACTTAATTCTTTGAATGGGGGATTTAAAAATAATCCAACCAAATGAACGGAAGTTGGCTGAAAACGCTTCTCTAAAGAGTTCAAGGTCTTTTCTTTTACATGTTCCATAACATACATTTCATTCATACATTTCAATTTTACAATTTTTTTTAGTTTCTCGTACCATAAAGCATATATATGAATGGTTGGCTCTGTTTCAGATGACAATTTGTCAGAACAATCTTTGAATGGTTTTAAAAATGAAATTAAACATTCCATTAAAGTGAAATCAATATCTGCTATACGTTGTAGTTGATTTTTTGTTAAAAGTAACATTTTAATCTCTTCCTGAACTTCCCAAATGCTTTCAAGCATAATGAAAACTGAATTCCAACGCGTTTTAATATCTTGTTTTAGTGATTTGCTCAGTTTTTTGTTAAGCTCTGAATGCTTAAAATATTTAACAAGATTTTTTGATTTTTCCAATAAGGTCTTAATTTCTTCAACGGGATTCTTTTCTAAAACGTCGTCCATGACTAAGTTCAAGTTATGACAGGCGCAAGAAAGTCTCTTATAAGTGTTGAAGGCGGCAACCACGTTGGCTCCATTGTCAGTAACAATAACACTACTCCTTAAACTACTTTCTAAATTATACTCAAGCAATATATACTTCACTTGCTCTAAAATGTTACCGCCAGTTTTTTTTTCTTCTAGAAATTCTTTTACTCCTAATATTGACGTTTTTAAACAAAAGGATTCATCAATATAATGTGCACTTAAGCAAAGAAAGCTTCTCTGGGTAAACTGGTCGGTCCACATGTCGGTAGTGAATGCCATGTGTTTGTTTGACAAGTCAGTAGTGAGCAGATCCTTTATTCGATTGTATTCTGCAACCATAACATTTCCTGTTAACTTTTTTCGGGACAGAATCAGATCATGGGAGTCGCGCGTTCCGTACTGGGCGCCTATGTTCAATATAGCTTGAACATAATTACGAAAACCAGTTCCTATAAATTTAGCAAATATTAACATTGATGAATATAAAAAAAAAATTATCTTTTACCTACCCTCAGTTACGTTTAATGGCAACAAGTCTTTGGCTACAAAAGCTAATTGTTTTTTAGCTAAATCATCAAGAACATTCTTCGGAACAGCCTTCGATGCAAAGTTTAACAATGGTTGATTGGGTGGAGGCATGAAAGCGCATTTGTGCCGAGCAAGTGTTGTGGTGCCATTTTTGACGCTAAAAGCCAAAACAAGCTTGCATTTGCAGCAGCACACAAAATCAAGAGGCTTTCCATCGAATTCCATAATCTTGAAAGTTTTCCAAACATCACTCTTTCCAGAAGAATTTTCTATCAATTTGTACATATTGTGATTGGCACTAATTGCTCTTTGCACTTCACATTTTGTTTTAGCACACTCATTATTATTAGCGTTCATTTTCTTGTACAATGCTTATTATGCTTTTAATCGTAATGACAATTTTATAGAGATCATCGATACAAAAATTAATCGTATGTGTACACGAAATCAGGTATAGCAAATATTTAAATATTTAACGGAATATTACGTTGCTACATTTTCTAAGCAGCGAACCAATCTTATTATACCCTGAACCCATTGAAAATGGGAAATCAGGGTATAATGGTTTTGTTGAAATGTATGTAACAGGCAGAAGGAGGCGTGGCAGACCCCACAAAGTATATATATTCTTGATCAGGGCGACAAGCTGAGTCGATTTGGCCCTGTCCGTCTGTCCGTCTGTCTGTCTGTCCGTCCGTCCGTCCGTCCGTCTGTCCGTATGTTTGAACGCGTCGATTTCCGAAGATATAAGAGCTAGAGACTTGAATTTTTTTTAAAATGACCGTATATACAGCGCGGACGTCGAGTTTGCTTTTATAATTCGATAAATCATTCCGTTATGTTTTTATCGAGTAAAAACATTCAAGTTCAAATCAGGTGCCACTATAGTTAATTGTGAATGATTTTAAATTTTTTTTTAAATTTCTCAAATATTCAATATAATATGTAGATCATATGCTGAAAGTTTCATTAAATTCCGTTCTGTCAAAAATTAATAAAAAATAATCAAATATTTGGCCAATTAACAAACGCACGTGCAGCAACTACAACAGCATCGTA